ACACACACACACACACACAGACACACACACGGACACAGACACACACACACGGACACAGACACACACACGGACACACACACGGACACAGGGACACACACAGGGACACACACACGGACACACACAGACAGACACAGGGACACACACAGACAGACACAGGGACACACACACACACACACACACAGACACACACAGAGACAGACACAGGGACACACACACAGACACAGGGACAGGGACAGACACAGTGACACACACACACACACACACACAGAGACAGACACAGAGACAGGGACACAAACACAGGGACACAGAGACAGACACAGACACAGGGACACACAGACACAGACACAGACACACACATACACAGACAGACACAGACACAGACGGACCTGTGAGCGGCTGGATGCTGAGCTGAGGCTCCTGTGAGTAAACCTCGTACTGAACCACAGGGTAAAGATGGGGCAGAATGAACTGCACACGGCCCAGCGTCGCACACAGCTGCCGGAGAGTATACGTGCCCGGCTTCTGACTCTGAGCAAAATCAAAGACGCATGAAAAGGTGGGGATTAACACACTTTTATCCTGTAAGCCTGTTTTTATGATTTAAATCATTTTTAGTAAGTGTTTTCATTTTAAAATTATTTATTTTAATTTTACATTTTTACAATTTAATTTTTTTTTGTAAATGTTTAATTTATTTTTAGTAAACGTTTTATTTGGATTGTTTTATTTTACATTTATTCTTATTTGACATTTTTGTGATTTAATTTTTAGAAAGCATTTTATTTTAAGTGATTTTAAGTTATCTATTTTAACTTTACATTTTTATGATCTGATATTTTTTAAAAAGTGATTTATTTCTGTTATTTTTCTTTTTACATTTTTATGATTAAATTTTTTTAGTAAGCGTTTTATTTTGATTGTTTTAGTTTAAATTAATTTTTATAAAAAAATTAACAAGCATTTTATTTCAAGTGTTTTTTTATTTATTTAAAGTTGTCTATTTTAATTAGACCTTTTTACAATTTAATATATTTTTAAAAAAGTGTTTTATTTTGATATTTAAATTTTTTTTTTTACAAAAAGTACATTTTTAAGATTCATTTTTAGTAACCATTTTATTTTGATTATATTTTATATATATATACACAGTATTTATTTTTATAATTTCTCTATGAACTCCCGTTTAGGAAACCTTTCTATAATCTGATGCAATGAAACATTTCTTCTCACTGGTGCGGTGAAGACGATGCTGTTGTTGCCAGGCAACAGAGTGACATCACTGGCCCTCAGCATCTGCGCTGCATCCTCCATAGCGACGGCTGGCGCGGTGTTGGGCGTGTCCAGAGACGTGCTGCTGTCATGGCGACGCATCAGCAGGTGCATGTTCCTGCAGGCCACGCCGGCGGAGCTCAGCGCGTTATCAGACGAACTGTGCTCCAGGATCTCGCAGAGCTCCAGCGCAGACGCAGACCCAGACGCAGGGCTGGCTGCGGGGAAGGTGACGGTGCCGTCTGGATTCTGAGCGGCTCGTTTCTGAGCCGTGGAGCCCGGCTGCTCCTGTGTGAAGTGTATGCTGGCGGAGATCTGCTCCAGCGTCACAGGAACGGGCATCAGACTGCAGAGACGCAGCTCCAGCTGCAGGGCGGCGCTCACATGCACCAGCGCCGAGGACGGACGGAAGCGCAGCTCCTGCAGCCGAGTGAAGGAGCTCATGCTCAGAGCCACACGAGCATCTGTCACACAGAGAAACACAAGAATGTTACAATGGAGCAGTTAAACAAAACCATTCAGTGATTCACTCGAGTCATTAATTAAAGCAACGTGAGAACAGATACAAATCTATCATGTGACCTGGAATTAAGTCGTACTCATTTGATACTTTTATAGTGTTTTTGTAGCCTAGCAGCTGTAGTTAGTTCACTCAAGACAAAGCTGACCTTTCTGGGGGTCAACTTTTTAAAAATTTATTTATTATAAATAAATAAATAAAATATTATATATATATAAACATTATTATATTTTCATCGTTATTTAAAGGAACAATGTGAGAGCAGACAGGAATAAAGTGTACAGTTTTATAATGTTTTTGTCCTTTTTGTTAGGGTTAGCTGTGACCGCTGTACTAAACACACTCAGAGCACAAAGCTGACCTTTCTGTTGACCTTTGCCCTCTGCGGTCTGGGTGGCAAAGGTCAGGATCTCCTGGCAGAAGTGTCTCCTCTCGTCATCGCTCAGGTTGGTGTCGCTGGCGAGCAGAGCGCTCGTCTGCAGGTATCTACACACACGGTCAGAGAAACCACGCGAAGCAGAGGAGCCCTGTATATTTTATATGCACTATATATATATATATATATATATATATATATATATATGTGTGTGTGTGTGTCTCCGAGGTTTCTGTGATGTAAAAAAAATGAGACCAAGATAAATAATTTCTGAACTTTTTCCACCGTTAACGTAAACTATAACCTGTACAACTCAATTAAAAAACAAACTGAAATCTTTTAGGAAAGGAGGAGTAAAAATAAAAAACTAAAATAATGTGATTGCATACGTGCGCACACCCTAATACATTGTTGAAGCACCTTTTGATTTTATTACACCAATCAGTCATT